GTGTGTGCCCGCGGTGAGCAGAGAATGTGTTCTGTGGAGGTTAAAGAATCAAATGGTGTGCACTTCATATACTCTTTCCTTCAGCCTCAACTGGAGGAATAACTAAATCCTAATGGCAATTCCCCATTGCAAAAGAGGTACTGAATTCTCGCTCTGCATTCTTTTCCTACCAGTGTTTGTGCCTTTCCCCAACATATGAGCTTGCCCTTCAAACGGGAAAAGTGATTGAACAGATGGGCAAATTTTACCCTGAACTGAAACTAGCTTATGCTGTTCGAGGCAATAAATGTGAGTATGAATATGTGATTCTAATTCATTAAGCTAGTAAATTATTTTTATTTTGAAAAATTTAAAACATATGCAGTAGTTGAAATAATACAATGAACATATGTGCCCTCCACCTAGATTTGAAAACTTAGCATTTTGTCATATTTGCTTTACATACTATTGTCTGTATTTGTGTGCATGTCCATTAAATACTGTAGTGATATCCTAACCTTTCCATAAAATATTAATGCAAATATCAAAACACTTGCATTTGTATATGTATGTATATATTCTTGGTGAACCATCTGAAATTAAATTGCAGACATTGTGGCTCTTTATTCCTAAATACTTTGGTATGCATCTCATGATGAGGACATTCTTCATTTGGCATACCCACAAAATACCCTTGGCACAACCAAGAAAATTAAACAGGCGCTCTAACTAAATCCTAGTCCAGTTTCATTTTTCCCCAAAGTTTCTTTATGGCTGTTTTTGAACCAAGATCAAGTCAGTATACATGCATTGCATTTGGGTATTGTATCTCTTTGTTTTCTTTCAACCTAGAATAGTCCCCTCCTCACATTTCCCTCCCCGCCACCATTACATTTGACATTTTGAACACAGGAGACCTGTTGCTTATACAATGTTCCAAATTCTGGATTTGTTTGTCTTTTTAATGCCATTAGAACAAAAATGTTCTAGAATATTTATGGCAATTAACTCTGGGAGCTTATTTTTATTCTTTTTTTTTAACTCATCTTTTCTACTTTTGTTATACAACAAACTGACAGTATTTAAGTAATTTATATTTTGTTGGAAGTTTGGTTGAGTCCTATGGATCTTTAACACAAACTTGTGACTTAATGACTCACAGAAATCTACTCTGCATTCAATGTCCTAATGCCAACTTGAAGTCAGTTCTGAAGAGAAAAGTAAGATAATAAAACTTGGCGAAAAATTATCATAAGACATTTAAAATACTGCAGTTTGGATTTCAGTTAGAATAGCAGAGGATTCTGAATAATTTTTTTTATTTGGGGCAATTTTTTTTAGTTGTTAACTGAAGAAAGCAGCAGCATTTGTTAGCTTTGAATTGACTCAACGTTCACATTTGGGCAAAATTTTGGCTGTTACTAGAGGAAGCTAGTATATGTCTGGTCTAGACTCCAATTAAAAGACTAAAATTTGAATCAGTAAGTACCATCTAGTTGAAAATGAAGAACTAAATTTTCAATTTCAGACTGAGCAGGGTCAAGAACATGCCATGGTCTGCCAGCCCTAGTCTGGGAAGAAATTTATCCAAGAGAAGTAGTTTGTGTTTCTTTGAAAAGACAAAGCCTTTCATAATGAATCCTATTTGCTGACCCTGGCGAGGTATAAGGCATGTAAAGGCAACTGACTTGTATGATTTAGATGCTGGGAGAGCTGAGCGGTAGAGTGCACTGGAGTGAGAACTTTGAAAAAGTCTATTTGTGAGGAAATGCAAGTGAAAACGACTACCACTGAAGAGTTCATCTTCTCATTTTTTGTATCCTTACTATATCCTTCCAGCATTATTGACTTTTTTTTGTGCATATCCATTAAATACTGAAGTGATATCTTAACCTTTCCATAAAATACTAATGCAAACATCAAAACACTTGCATTAAAATACATCATAGCTTTAGAATTTCTCAGAGAAAAGAGTTGGCTTTGCCATGAAAATAACCACAGAACACATCTTGTCTCCACAGTGGAAAGAGGTCAGAAGATCAGTGAGCACATTGTAATTGGCACCCCTGGGACTGTCTTAGACTGGTGCGCCAAGCTCAAGTTCATTGACCCCAAGAGGATCAAGGTGTTTGTTCTGGATGAGGCTGATGTGATGATAGCTACTCAGGGCCACCAAGATCAGAGCATCCGCATCCAAAGGTAGGAATCTGGAGCCAGGAGGAACTTCTCAGCCTTCTGATCCGCAAGGAAAAAATCTTTTTCTCTGTGTCTCCTCTTGCTGTTTCCAACTCGTGTTCTCTCTCCTGCTGGGTTCTTTGCTTCAGAACTTTCAGAAGCATTTATTTGATGGGCCACGTCAGGCTGAGTGGAGGAAGGAGACTCGGGGAGTCTAAGAGCACACCGTCCCTGCCGCATGTCTGCTTCTGCCTCCTCTCCAAAGGGCTCGCCCCCACCCCCACCTCCTGGCGATGGAGACCATCCAGGGCTGGGGAGGCTGTGCTTCTGTTTGTTCCAGTGAAAAACCCAGGGTCATGCCAAATACCTGGGCCTTCCCTTGCAGGATGCTACCCAGGAACTGCCAGATGCTGCTTTTCTCTGCCACCTTTGAAGACTCAGTATGGAAATTTGCCCAGAAAGTGGTCCCAGACCCAAACATTATCAAACTGAAGCGTGAGGAGGAGACGTTGGACACCATCAAGCAATATTACGTCCTGTGTAATAACAGAGACGAGAAGTTCCAGGCCTTGTGTAACCTGTACGGAGCCATCACCATTGCTCAAGCCATGATCTTCTGCCATGTGAGTAGCAGCAGGAGCAGCAGGCCTGCTGGAGGAGGAGCTCCACTGGAGGGTGTTGTCCTGCCCCCACTCCCTCAGGCAGCCCCACCTTAGTGCTGAAGAGGACCAGGTTCCATCTGTGTAGGACTAGAAAGATGAATCATCTCTATCTGCCCCAGGGCATAGTCTCCTCATAGTGAGTAATAAGGGGAAGACCTCTAACCCTTCTTTGATCCCACTTATTGGAGATAACTTGGAAAAAGAACTCCAAATAACATTCAATGAAATAATGTTAAAACATTAGGAATATAAACTATTTAGGAATGAAAACCTTTGGTTAAAACCACACTTCCTAGATGAACACTAAGATCATTTAAGTAATTCATCCTCCCCAAAAATCATGTGGCTAAAATCTATTTGAGAAATTTTAAGCCTAATCCTCTGGCTGAACTCAGTAGAGCATTCATGTACATTAATGGCAACAAGCTACTTTTCTGCAGGTGTCTTCATTTTTTTCTTACAGGTATCTTCATTTAAAACAATTCTTTTCACTCCAGACCCGCAAAACAGCGAGTTGGTTGGCAGCAGAGCTCTCAAAAGAAGGCCACCAGGTGGCTCTGCTGAGTGGTGAAATGATGGTGGAACAGAGAGCTGCAGTGATTGAGCGCTTCCGAGAGGGCAAAGAGAAGGTTCTGGTGACCACCAACGTGTGTGCCCGCGGTGAGCAGAGAATGTGTTCTGGTCTGCCAGGCTCAGGTAGCGAGAGAAATCCTCACATATGAAAAACTCAGACGGTTTGGGGGAGACCAGGTGGGGCGGGTGGTGATATTCTTTTCTAGGGGAAACTGGATTCTCTCAGCAGGTAAGAGCTTTCAGAGAAGCCCGGAGTCCTGACTTGCTGGAAGGAAACATACAGGCTGGTTTAGAATGGTCCTGCTCTTCTAGGGGCTCCCATTGAGGTGTTAGCTGCATTTCCAGATACTAGTATGTAGCAGAGGCTCTCTTACTGACTTCATAATTTTGTTAGCACCTGCCAAAGTTCTGTGGTTTTCCTCAGGGTTCTGCTACATCCCACTTGTCCCTGAATCCCAGAGCTGGCCCACCCAGACTCTTCCTTGCACACAAAGTTGGTGTACGTGGCCTGACTGTGGGTGACAGCGGTTTTTGTCTCCTGTCCTTACTCTGCCCCAACCCTCCTTCATGCAGGTATCGATGTTGAGCAGGTGTCTGTCGTCATCAACTTCGACCTTCCCGTGGACAAGGATGGGAACCCAGACAATGAGACCTACCTGCACCGGATTGGGCGCACCGGCCGCTTTGGCAAGAGGGGCCTGGCAGTGAACATGGTCGACAGCAAGCACAGCATGAACATCCTGAACAGAATCCAGGAGCATTTTAGTGAGTCCCTGGGAGTGTCCTCGGCCAGGGCCCTTTCCTCACAGGGGCAAGTCTTGGGAAGGAGGGTATAGTATGTTTTCCTGTGGCCCCGAGAGAGGCTTTGTCCTTGTCACATTCCCCTCCTTCCGTACAATCTGGAAGTTCTTAAAGAGCACACCTGGAGAGTTCAGGGTCAGGGACTGAAATGACAGTTCCCCCTTGGTCAGGCTGCAGGGCCCTGGGGCTCTGACTGTTGCTGTCAGTGTCCCCTTCTCAATCACCAGAAGCCTCGGGTCAAATGAAGGATCGATGTGGTCAGAGGCAGGGCTTGTTCCTCGGTAGGGCAGAGACCTGTGTTTCCTCTCCCCCTGCTGTGCTGTCCCTTCCCTCGGCGTGTGTCTCCACAGTAACCTCATGTTGACTTCTCTTTGGATTATTTTTTCCCCAGATAAGAAAATAGAAAGATTGGACACGGATGATTTGGATGAAATTGAGAAAATAGCCAACTGAGAAGCTCCACTATTCACTGGTGCCCGCCCTTGGCACTCCCCCTGCACGGGAGACTAGTGCTCTCACGTACAGGCCTCAACAGTCACCACAAAGATGAAGTGAGAAACTACCTACCTCATTTTAAATTACGTTTGGACTTGCTAAAAATTGTGCAAATGATAGAGGAAGGTAGAAAAATATTGTTTACACAACTTTCGAAGATTAGGCGTGAATACACAGAAATTTACCTTTTGGAAATTCCGTCCCTTTTTTTGGCCAGCATTTCCCCCATTGTTATGGTAATCTAGATGCTGTGGCTAATCACTACTTCAGGATCTTTGTGGCAGCCCCTACCTGTTTTCTGGCTAGGAGTGTTCAGGCCAACCTCCAGCCCTGGTGAAAGTGACAGAATAGAGGTGAAGAAGGAACAGAGAGAGAGAGCCCCCAAGGAGGATAGGAATGTAAGCCACCCACTGTGTTTCGAGTATGGCATGAGGAGACCCGTGAGCTGCTGCTTTGGATTTCAGATGGGACAGCACATCCGAGTGTTGTCAGCCCACTCTGTCCTGATACCCACAGCAAGAAGGGATTTTCTAAGCATGGACCAAATTGACAACCTGGGATCTTTAGTGTATGTACGTTTGTGTTGCAGGACCATGACCTATTCTCAGCAGGTGCAATCTGTGTATGCACATCTGTTTACTGGTGGGTCCCTTGCTTGTGCTTGAGCAAGTCCTGTGAAGAAGTCATTGTGGAGAATTAGTGGTGGCTCTAAACTTGCCACAAAAGCCTGGTCTCACAGGCACCTGCAGCATCGTTTTTACATCCCTAACATCACCTTGATCCCTTAGTTGCCCCAAGCAAATAAAAGGTGATCTGAGGTTTGGATACTCAGTAAAAGTTGTGGTTTCAAGTTGCTAATGGCCAGCCTTAAGGCAGCTCCAGAAGTGTTCCACAGTAGTCACAAATCTTTGCTTTGTCTTCAGATCCCAGAAGGCAAATTTTTTGACAATGATTTCAGATATTTGGCATCTTCATTGTAAAGTGATTCTGAACGTCTGTGGTCACAGTACTTGGAATACAAACAGGTGCAACTAAGGGACTAGGTGGACTACAGCCATTCATCTGTGCAAGGGAAGAGTAATTGCCAAGGCCTTTGATCCATCCTTACTTGGCGTCTTGGTGCAAAATAGTCAAAGCAAATAATCCTCATACCTGGCCAAGGCTATTAGTACCCACAAAGTGACAGAGCACAGATGAGATGTAACTGAGTTGCAAGAGCAATATAAAACCCAAGCCAAAAGGAACCCTCTTCAGCGCTTTGACTTTGATACACAATGGCCACTTAACCTAGGACCAGGCCTGGAAGGGGGATTTTTTTCAGTAATGAGAACTATCTAATCCCAGATGTTTCTTGTAGACATTTTTGTGTTTTAGGGCCATATTTGTCTCCTGGGAAGGGAAGGGGCCACTACCAGCCTCCAGGTGGCTTCCTTAATCTGACATTACAGATACTGCAGAGAGACTGACAGACTGCAATCTTGCCTCATTTCCCCAGTGAGCACCTGACTGTGTAAAGTCCTCTATGCTTCTGGCCAACTCTCACCCACGTTGAGAGTCTTATAGGAAGAGAAGAAATTTTATGCTCCGCCCCCAAAGTCCTGTGGATCAATTTTGAAATAACTAAAAACAAAGGCAATAATGAAAGGACTATAGCCTCCTCATGAGGCTGCAGGCCCAGCACACCCCCACCTTTTCACAACATGTATAACCCATCAGGGCTACTGAGTAGGAAAATCTGAGCAGGAAAATGGGAAGGGATGTGCTTCAGACTCTTCAATAGAAGGAGTAAATGGGTATCTGGTAAAAATCTAGACCAACAGTTCTTAATCTGGGGGGTTGGACTCCTAAGAATTCACTGGATGGGTCTATGACATATATGCAGTATTTTGAGTTTAAACTTCCTGGGGAGAGACTTCCTCCTTAAAGGAGTATGTCTTTTAAAAAGGCAAGACACTGTTATGGATGGTTCTAGACTATCATCCCAGTGTCACTGTATTCCATATCCCCTCACAGAACATATTCATTCCTGCCAGTGCTTGGCTCCCAGGGCTCAATGGACCACAGCTGCTTCTGTGACCTTGTACAGTTTTGAGACATCTGTGATGTAAAAATGTATTGAGCCCTTAGTGTGAGCTCCAGTTTCTAGAGTTTCTTTTACTGTTTTTAGTAAGTTTCTATATATGAAATGATAAACTGTCCTAGAACAGAGAAGCTCACTTGGGAAAAGGAGATTTTGATCCAACGGAAGATTCTGGATATGTTCATTATCCATAAACAATGAATTTTACTGGATTTTTTTTTTCAGTGTCATTCATTGGCTATATGCATAAGAACTAATCAATTGTTGATGTATTCTTTATTGATATTAACTGAAATTAACTATGATGCGTTCATGTTACTAAGACATTATTAATGACTAATAAGAAAACAGCATGTTTTGGGTTGCTGGTATTAGTAATCATACGTAAGTGAGGACTCACGTATTATTCCATAAGCTAGTCATCACCTGATATTACTATTCCGTTTCAGAGTTGACATTGTTCCAACATGAGCCATTGGGACGTCTCCATAAGCCAAGGGCCCTACTCAGTTGCCAAAGGGCTACTCACACTCCCTTTTTTCCTGCTGGTAAACCAGAGGACACTGTCTAACTAATCAGAAAGTAGGTAGATGCCAGCAAATACAAAGTCCTTACATTCTATTTTTTTAGTCCTGGAAAAGGAATAAAAATAGGAATTGGAAAGATGTCTTCTGCCTTTGTTTTCATCTCTTGTTTATTATTTAACTTGAAAGCTATTTCATTCAAAGTACCATTGGTATTCAGAGGTAAGGATTTCTGAGGTTAGCGATTTCATGAAGAAGTGGAGTTTGCTTATGAGAGAAAAGTGAGATTTCAAATGACAAGAAGAGTGCCCTAGGCAGACTGGCTATATGAAGAGTAAAGCAACTTCACCAAGATAAAAAGTATACAGGCCGGTGAGAAGCCTATCCATGTGGGCAGAGAAAAGTCTCATTAGGTATAAAATGAAGATCTGATTGTTTGAACAGGATTTGGGTTTAGTAGTAAATTGTCATAGATACTTAAATCACAAAAGGTAGTGATGAAATTTTGAGGGTGGGGGGTGGGGAATTGGTCTAGCAGAGGTATACAGGATATATTGGAGCTGGAAAAGGCTTACATCTGAGACACCAGTTAGAAGATTATCAGTCCAATCACACATCACAGTGCCAGGATGTTATTGGTTGTATTGAGAAAACAAGAATAAATAGACTGGAGGGATACTAGAAAGGAAGGATGGTGGGCTTTTATGCTTACTGTTATTTCAAAGAGGATTTGTGACTCTTAATAATTAGATGTACTATACAATATAACCCTGAGAAGAAAACCAAAGTGAAGGTTTGGAAAGAACAGATGGCATCAGGCTTGAGTCTCCTGCACAGCATGTATAATATTAGGGCCATCACCTTTGCAAGAAGGGCCTGGCCCCTTCCTTGCCTTCACCAAGACCACCCAACCTTGTCGATTTCAGGGGTCCTCTTGAGGTTTCTCTTGGTCCTTAACATAGATATCAGGTTCTTATGAACCCTCCAACAGTTTTACCTGACTTTGCTTTTCTATTTGAGAATAAATGTTCCTTATTCTGTTGACTGACTCAGATTACAGCATCATCCAAAAATGACAGTGGACCTGAGGGTCTGATGCTAGAAGGCTCCAGTACTCTGCTTTCCTAATTCAGCACAGGGCTTCCCCAGAATAGCCTCAAACACCTAGTGGTAAGTGAGAGGCCAGGTGGGGATCTGCTTGGAGGATGTTTATCACACTCCTACCTTATGCCCTCTTTCTCCAGCCTCTGTTGTTGTAGGCTCCTGCTTTGGCTTAGAAGCTGTTCTGGTGTTAGTATTCAGCAGTGCAAGGGTCTCATCTATAGTAATTCTAATTATATAATAGCTCTAAAAGTAAAAGGGGGGATAGGAGTAGGTGGAAGCAAAGAATATTAGATGAAGCCTGACAGTGGTGGCTGTTTGGTATGTCAGCTGTTCAGATGAGGTACTTACCGCCTCTGCTTTATCGATATCTAATAGGTTGAGATGGTTGGATGGCAGACCCATCTTTTGTGTAGCTCTATAGCCTAGGACAATAGCTAGCTTCTCCCAGTGGAAAGGGGGAGGGGTTGTTTAGATGGAACTCTGGAAGTACTAGTATACATTTTGTGAGTCTCTACAACTGTTCTGTTATATTCTCATCCATATGCCTCTAGCATCCCTGGAATTCTCCAGTTGAAGAAAAGCTAAATAGTCTTAGGTTCTTAGCTTATCCCTGAGAGCAAATGTCCCCACACTTAAGACTTGAAAGGACATGAGTTAACCCCTGGTCAGGTAGTGTGGCCAAGTGTGCTAGGTGTATTGTTATTTGGTCTTTGTTCCTTTCAGACACCAAACAGCTTGGATGATTTGCACAGAAATCATCTGATAAACCAATGTCATTTGAGTCCAGATTTAACAACAAAACAGGTTCCAGTGTTTCAGTTTTGCTTTCTTAATTTCTAAAACAAGGTTACGCTAGAGGGGCAATTAAATATTGTTCTGTTTATCTGATTTTATATCTAAACTCAATGGAGTGGATAACTTCAGAAAAAGCTGCAGTGCCTCTAGCCTCATGGGTTATTAGTCCTTTCTGGTTAACTCCCGGCACCATTCTGTTCAGTGACCATTTCAAGAGTCACTCACCTCTTAAGTTCCAACTCTGTTATCCCCCTCAGCTGTCAGCAATTGATCTCCGTAATCAAACAGCCAACACAAGGAGATGCCCTCAACATTCTGCCACCAGACCTATCTCCAAACACACCTCTCCTNTTCCAAAGTGTCTTTATGCAAAGCAAATACAAATACAGATTCTGTCTTTTTTTTAACCAAAAGATGTCATAGTATACGCAGTATACTTATTTAATCTCATTCAACAACATACCTTGGCAAGCTTTCCATATCAGCACATGGAGTTTCCTTATTCTTTTGTACAATTGCATAGTATTATATTGTGTTGATCTAGCACAATTTATTTAATCTGTCATCTAATGATAGATACTTGAGTTGGTCACATTCTTTTGCTATTATAAACAATGTTTCATGAAATGACCTTGAACTTAATTCTTTTCACATGTATGCAAATATGTTTGTAGGATAAATTCCCCCAAAATGGATTTGCAAGGTCAAAGGAATATTCATTTGCAATTTTTATCAGTATTTTTAAGGTACTCTCCGTAAGTATTATACCAATTTATATTTCTATCAGTAAAACATGATAGTGTCTGTTTCCCTATAACCTCACCACAGAATTTTTAGTCAAACACTTGGAATTTTGCCAATCTGTTAGGTAAAAAATGGTGGATTGGCATAATATATTTTAATTTGTGTTGCATGAGTAAGGTTGAATATTTTCATAAGTTGAAAAGAATTTGTATTTCCTGGGTCGGCTGAGTGGCTTGTTGGTTAAGAGTTGGCTTGGGAGCATGAGCTCTGAGCAGCGGGGCCTCCAGTTCGGATCTCACATGGGTCAGTGATGCTGCTCCCTCTACAGCTAAGATGGTGAACAACAGCTCAACCTGGAGCTGGGCTGCCGTGAGTTGCCTGTGATGGCGTAGGCTGCAGTGGGCTGGCGTGCGCTTTCGTGAGCTGCCGTGAGCCGCCGTGAGTGGCCATTCAATGGCCGCCAAGCGACTGCCTCAGCCTGAAAGAGCGCAGTGATCACAATACCAACATGGGCTAGTGAAGCGACGTTCTCCACAACTAGACTGAAGAACAAAGGACAGCAACTTGTCTGTTCCCCTTCCCCCAATTCCCCATAAATCTTAAAAAAAAAAAATTGTATTTCCTTTCCCTGGATAGACTATTTGTGTCATTTGCCCATTTCTCTATTCAGCTTTTTGTCTTTTCTAAATATGAAAACGTTGTATTTTAAGATTAACCCTTTATGATAAAAGTTGCTAATTTTGCCAGTTTTATTTGTCTTTTGACTTTGCAGAATACGTATTCTGCAGTTATTGGGTACAGTATCCTTATAAATGTCANTACTAACACATGGTGGGGCAATCTTTAATTTTAGCCATTCAAATGGGTGTACGGTGATATCTCATTGTGACTTTGATTTGCATTTCCTTAATAACATGATTTTGAGCTCCTTCCATGTGCTGACTATCCTCTTTTGTCAAGTATTCAAGTTAGTCATACATTTTGACATACGTGTTGCAATGATTAGAAGTGTGTCCTAGAGTAATACGTTTTGAACTAAAATCTGTTAGTCTATTCATACATACATTAAAAGGTATTTATCGAGAGTCTATGTGCCATGAACTTTTCTAGGTTCACTAATCAGCTGTGTAACCAAGATATTTATGGTCTTTGCTTTTGTTTAGAGTTCATATTCTAGTGGGGAGACACATAAAGTAAACTGGCAACAAATAAGATGATTTTGGGTGGTGTAAAGATGCTCACTGAAGTGTTATCAACTAATGATAAAACATCAGAAACAACTGATATCCCCAAGGGGGGAGGAGTTAGGGGAGTTAGGCAATTTATGTGATATGAGCTTGTACTAATATACTGCTATTAAATTGATAATTATGACATTAAAAATACTTAGCCTTATAATAAGGTCAATTTTTAAATTGTATATATATTTTGTTTAGGACTGTAAAATACCCGTGCAATGATGAGTATGGACAATAACCGGAAGGACCCAGAAGAAAACTGAAACGCTATTGTATTTTTTGGAGTGGTGGAATTATGGGGGAGCAGGTTTAAGGGCTTTTGGTTTCGTTTTGTTTCCTGTCCTCTTACCTGTTACCACGTTCTTAAGAGTAGAAACTGGCACCACACAGTATTCTCACGGGACTTTTGTGTAAAGAGTTCAGAGACTTACACATTTTAGACGTGACAGGTTTAAGAATAAAACTTCAGTGTGAAGTAAGGCAAAGTGAGGTCTAAGACTTTCACTTCGTAGAGCTAGGAGATTTTAAGGAACCCCACGGAAACCTCAAATTTGCGCCTGACGGAAAACTGCGAGGCCAGGACAGGCCGGCGCGGCGCGGAATGGTGACGTCACGCGCCAGGAAGGAACTGACATCACTTTTCGCACCGCCGCTTCCGATCCGCGTGAGTGTCCGTCTTGCGCCTGCGGGGA